AAATACTTCTGAAAGAAAGGGGGGGGTGTCTCTTTTCCTTTTTGCACCAGGGAAAACTAATTTTCTTTCTTTCTCTATTTGTATTTACCCTTTCAGGGGTGATTGCAGGGAGGAAGTGGTGTGTCCTGTCAAATGCTACAAAACAGTAGCCTGAGGAGCACCTGGCAGGACGTGGTGACCTTGGTAAAAGCAACTCTAGCGGAAGGGGAAGATGGAGAGACGGACAGGTGAGTGGAAGGAAGAAATGTATCCAGAGAATGGAAGATGCTTGTCTGAGAAGAGAACAGGCAGGGTAAGGAATGCAAGACAAAGTGATTTTTTTTTTTCAATGAGTGGTTTCAGAGGATGTGTCAGATGGGGACACGGCCAACGCAGATGGGGGAGTAGAACACTGGCAGGATACAGGCTGCCTCAGCCACCGTTACCCCAAGAAGAGCCATCTTGGGGGAATCTCTTGGAGGAATGGCCATTTTAGGTTATATAAAGTTCAAGTCTACAGAAAAAATAACAGTGAAGGTTTAGGCTCAGGGTCAGGGCTCAGCCAGGTCAGGGTCAGGAATTGGTTCTGAGAAGATATTCATGGTCAGAATGTGGGTTTGGGTGGAATGAGAGCTTGTGATTCTGGGGTCAGATTAGAGGTCAATGTCCAGAAGACAGAGGCCGATCTTCAGATACTATAAACCTGAACTTCACTCCGTCTCTTCCTACTGTCTATTTCTCCTTCTTTATTCTGTAAGTTTCTTTTGCTCCTATATTTCATTTTTCTTTCTCCCTCTTCCTCTCTTTCCACCTCTCTCTTCTCCTTAAGGATGAGGCAGACAAGAAAGGGGTTAGGAAAAATTGTCTCCCTCGCCCTTATTTTTGCAACTCATGCCCGCAGAATTTAAAGAGCTTTAAAAGTTGGTTCTTCATTGAAATTGACTTTAGACCCAACACGAATAATTTAGAAAGCAAATGAGCATAATCTGGCTCAAGTCTCTGCAAATAAGTAAAATCTAAATTCCAATTCCTTTGTCTTCTGGAGTAGCCCACAGTTGATTTTTTTTTCTTTTTGCAATGGATCAGTTACTTGTATTCGATTTTTAAAATCTTGTGACTGGTTTCATAAATATAATGGGGCAAAAACCTTACTTCCTGTAAGGGGAAATCAGACTTGACTAATCCTCATGCTGGCGCTAAAAGAAGGAGAATTGCATGTTTGTAAGTGCAGATACATTTGAATATCAAAATAGTAGGGACAGTAAGTGATGGGTCACAGAGGAAATAGTCATAACTTATAAAAAGGCCAAACCATTAAAAACACAAAAGATTTATGCTAGAAATTAACCCTAGCCTTCTCCCACCAAAGTCTTCCAGCTGGAAATATCAAAATCTAAAATAACTCCTGGTTGATTATATTTAGAAATTAATGACAGTAAGAGCGTCTGTTTCAAACCCAGAACGCTTTTTATGGAGTATCTTACAATCTCCAATAGGAGAATCACAGTGAAGAACTCCAGGTTTTGGAGAAAATCCATGTCTCCCTATGCAGATACTGATTTGGAAAGGGACTCCTGGCTTGTCACTGGGCCCGGGTGGAATCTGGATGCCAGGTGCCCTGGACTAAATATGTGTGTCCCATCCCACAATTTGTATGTTGTTTGTATTTATTTATTTATTTATTTATAGAGTGTGTGAGTGACTGGGGGGAGAGGCAGAGGGAGGAGGAGGAGAGGGAGAGAATTTCAAGCAGGCTCCATGCTCAGTGCGGAGCTTGACATGGGGCTCAATCTCACAACCCTGGGATCATGCCCTGAGGTGAAATCAAGGTCAGATGCCTAACCAACTGAGCAAGCCACGCACCCCAAGGTGGTATTCTAATGAAAACCTCAGGCCTAAGAACCAGGGAGCCAGTGGTATAAATCCCAGTCTAAATCTGAAGGCCAGAGAACGGGAGGGCTGATATCTGAGGGCAGGAGAAGACAGATGTCCAAGCTCAAGCAGAGAGCAAATCCCTGCTTTCTCCACTTTTTCGTTCTATTTAGGTCCTCAACAGATTGGAAGAGGCTCAATTGCCTGGTGTGGGCCATCTTTGCTCAGTCCACCAATTCAAATGCTATTCTTTTCTGGAAACAGCCTCGCAGAAACACCCAGAAATAATGTTTTACTAGCTATGTGGGCATTCCTGAGGATAAAATCAACCATCACATCACCCTTATGGGAAGCAGCCAGAGCTGCTTAGTTTTCCTTTAGCCACATGAGGACACAGTGAGAAGTCTGCCACCTGCAGCCCACAAGAGGGCATCCTGATCTTGGACTCCCAGCCTCCAAAACTGTGAGAAACAAACTTCAGTTATTGATAAGCCATGGTATCTTGTTGTAGAAGGCCAAACTGACAAAGTCACCTGGCCACAAACACCAAGGGCATTGTGACCCGAACTACACATCACATACTGGGTGCAAACTACCAAACCATGACTTTGGGTGTGCACAGCAGCATCCGTCATCCACGGAAAAGATGTGTATGGGATTAGATTCAAGTGGGGATGGAAGGTACAGGCGTACACCTAAGCAGATGGCTCAGATGCCCATGGTACCTGCTCCTGATGCATCTCCCTTCACCTATGCCTATGGGCTCATGGATATTCCCTGTGATCTGTTTACAGAGAAGGGGAACAACAGACCGGGTGTATGGACGGATCTGTATGATGGGCTGGCACCAGGCAATAGGTGGATGCTGGGTTAGCATTGCACTCATGTGGCGCTGAAAGAGTGATGTAGGGAAGTCCTTCAGGTGGTGAAACTTCAGGGGTCCACCTTGTGGGAGAGAGGGATGTCCTTAGGTCCACTTATGCATGGATCCATATAAGCCACCTGATCAAGGACTTGGAAAGAATAAAAGTATAAAGAGAAAAAAAGAAAAGAATAAAAGTATAAAATGAAGACAGGGAGGATATGTGGAGGTCCTCTGGGGGTGGGCACAGAGTGTGAAGATGTTCATGACCCATGCTGATGCCCACCAGAACAAAGGCACTGAGGAATGGCCATGTGGGCAGGTGTGGAAGCTCCACGTAGTTACAACAAATAGGCTAGCTCTCCGCAAGGCCGACCTGGCTGTTGACAGTACTCAGTGCCCAAACCAACAGAGGCAGAGGCCAATGCCACTCTACAGCAGGACTACCCAAGACATGCCCCGTCATGGAGAGGACTGAGCTTTATCCTCACAGGGGGATAGACACATACCGTGCGTTCCCATTCGCCTTCCTTGTACACCCAATGCTTCCTTCAACACTGCCATTTGGGAACTTAGAAAATGTCTTTTCTAGTGCTATGGTATCCCTTGAGGTAGTGAGGTCATTAACTCACAGCCATGGAGCTCTCTGATCTTCCCAGGTGCCCCATTTACACAGAGACAGTTGGCTTATCAGAGTGATAGAGTGGCCCGTGAAGGCTTATGAGGGCACCGGGTGAGAGACGGTACCCTGGCATCCATCAGGAACGTACATCTCAGACCAGCGGTCAGTCTATTGTGCCCCATCCCCCACGGGCAGAAGGCAGGAGTCCATGAGGCAAGAGGAGAATAAGGGATAGCCCCTCCCACTACTGCATACTCCCACCGACCAACCACTTAAAGAATTCTTGCTGTTGGGCTCTGTAGCCTTGGGATTGGTGTGGGTGAGGAACCCATCGCAGCTCTAATCAACTGGAAGCCATGTCCGCAGCCTAGCCGTTTTGTGCTTCCCCACAAGGCAAAGAGGAGGGGCATTCTGCTGATCACCAGATGGAACGTGACCGCCAGAGGGAGGTTGGGTCGCTGGGTCAGGGAGGACTGTGTTTGGCAGCCGGGTGACATGTGAGGGGTACATCTTCCTACTTCCATGGCCAGTGGCCCTGCTCCATGGAAAACTGCAGACACTCAATAAAGATCATCAAACACCCAAACCTCCTAAGAATGAAGACTTATGTCCCACGACAATTGCTTAAACTAGGCGTTGGCAGATAGTAAGCTGATACGGAATGGGTGGGGGAAGGAGCACCCAACCGCATGCAGGACATTTGCAGCTTTGTTTTTACATTATTTCCTGCCCCCCCCCCCGTCTGCCTCTCACTGTGGGCATATGAAGAACTGGCTATCGCCGTGGGCGTCCAACTCATTGTCACCAGCACATCATGTTGCTGTGATTACGTAATGGGTGGGAATGGTGCGTCCTCTATACTGAGGACTCTGGTTTTCATCTGGACAAGGAGAAGGCATGGATGTGAGGAGGAAGAGGGTGGACCGGGACAGACACCTGGTTTCCTTCTCCCCCTGCTCTGTGCCGTGGGTGGCAGATCTATGGGGCTGCATCGCAGGAATGCCTGCTCTCCAGCTGCGTTCAGTCAAGAGGAGCCCCAACGGGAGAACAGAGGAAGGACACTGAGTAAAGCTGGGGTGCTCATTCCCCAGCTCCCTCCCTACGGTGTGGGCTGGGTGGCTTTTTCAGCTTAAGATGAGAGCGTGTAGCAGGCAGCCCTCTGTAAACCTCCCCCACATACCCTTCCCCCTGCAGATTCCAGTAATGGTAAAGACTTCTCCCCCTTCTCGGGCCTAGGATGGTCACAGAGACCCAAGGAGATCAGCCTCGGGAAACTGCGCAAACCTTCTATGTCAAGTTTCTCGGGTAGGATAAATCCCCCTTTGCGCTGGGGCCCTGCCTGCTAAGAGGGTAGCCTCATCAGCGGTGCAACACCACCTCCCAGGTCATGGTGGTGCCCACTTACCTTTGGCCCGAGCATCCTGAAGGCTCTGCTACCCTTCAAGCTGGAATGGGGACATGCACCAGAACAGTGAAGGAAGGTCCTAAGATGGTGAATCTCTCACCGGGCTCCTCCCCTCCCCAGCCAGATCTCTGCGTGTCCTGCCCACCCCCCAAACACACACACAGAAAAACCTCATCATTCAGGGAAAGGACAATGTCTTTATTATCAGACACATGTGGCCACTCTTGACCTCTCCCAGAGGTCAAGTTCAGCTTTTCCCAGCTGCTTCTGTATGTTGTTATCAGGCCATGAAGTATGTGGGTGTGCTGAGGGATGATGATTCACGGAGAGGGCAAGGAAATAATTCAGCATCCAAGGCTGCTTGGTTATGAGGTCAGAAGGAAGGTTGGTTTAGGGGGTCAGCAAGGAGCTAAGAATCATAGGGGAATAGGGTCAGCAGAGAGGCATCCCACACCAGACAGCTAGGGATAGTCCAAGCCCCACCACCCAAGCCAGTAAGGGCATGGGGGCCGCTCCAGCTTGGAGAATAAGGTCCAGCTCTTCCTCAGAGTTCTCAGTCACAGAGAAGACCCCAATTTTCCGGGCATGGTTCAACAAGGAGCTGGAAGCTTGGGTCACGCAGCCCTGAATGTTCAATTCAGAGTGTATCCCACCTACAGAGTGAGTCAGAGAGGTCTCAAAAGGCAGCACACTCAAAGTCCTAAGACCGAGGAATCCCAGGTCCCCCCAGCCCCCTCAGACGGGGAGACCGCGCTTAGTCCTCTCCTCCCTCAGACCTAGAAATCCGAGTTCCCAGGCCCCCCACCCTCAAACCCTTGAGTCAGGGCCTCAAGTACCCTCCCACCTCAGAACCACCGCAGCCAGGCCCCCAACCCTGCATTCTCGGGACGCGGCCATCAGCACTTACCTTCCTGGATCTTAATGTAACCACTGTAACAATGAGTGGTGCCACTGGGGCACATAACAGTTTCTGGGTTTCCTGGGCAGGATCCAAAGATGTTCACACAGATGGGACATTGCAAATTGCCCGGGGCAGGGGCAGCTGAAAAGTAGAGAGAAGGTTGGGGTGCGCAGCTCTGCTCCTAGCTGGAGCCACCCTCCTCGATCCCTGGAGTCTCTGTGTCTCCCCATCTCAGGGTGTCCCCGGTCCCACCCAACCTGCTGGGCTTCCGTACCTGGACGAGGGAGAGAGTTCAACAGGACGTTGGTATTGCTGGCCCTGTTGCACCTGTTGGAGGAGCAGAAATGGGCATAGGAGGCCACCAGCACTCCGGGGGGCCCCGAGTGTACGGTGATCGTAGGGGCATCCTGCGTCCTGCCCTTGCTGCAGCCTTTGCTTCCTACTATGATCGATTTGTGTCCTGGGGGGAGGGGTGAGAGAGCAAAAGCTGGGCTGGGGGAGTAGGGCTCTGAGGATCAAAGGCAGGGGGCAGAGCCAGGGGGGCTCCCTGACTGCTCAGCAGGCAGGCAGAGGGTGAGTGCATGTGCCCGACTTCTAGAGCCCGGGGCACACTGAGGGCAGGGGGAAGGCTGGGGCCAGGGCCAGCTCTGCTGTCTGTCAGTTCTTCCTCCAACGCCACCTGCTCAGGACAGCCTCCCCGGAGCACCCACTTTCAAACGGGAACCTTTACCTAACTCTCCCTACCTCCTTTCCCCACGGGGTGCTCTCATCTTCACATCCATATATTACTCTGTTTTGTGTGTGTGGTTTGTTTTTTCTTCCCCCCTGGCGTGTAAAGCCTGAGGAAGGAGGATGGAAGGGATCCACGGTGCCTACAACAGTTGTCTGGCACACGGCGGGGGGCTCAATAAATCTCAAACGAACTCAGCGAGGTTACTCTGTGCCGGCTCTGTTCTTGCCCCGCCCCCGCCCCCGCCCCCGCCGGGACTGTGACGACCACCCAGCAAGGGAGCTAGTATCACTGCTGTCATTTCTCCGCGTCCAGAAGGGCGAACTAAGGCACAGAAGAAGTTAGGCCTGAGCTTAGAACTTGAGGCATGAGGGGAACCCGGCAGGAAATTCAGGGGACAGGAAACAGGGTGGGGACATTCGGGACTCTGAGTGCAGCCCACGTACCTACATCGACGAGCAGAAGTGTCTCCTGACACACCTCCCCAACATCACAAAGCTCGTAGTGATCTGTGGTCCACTTGCGGGGCGTCTGAGACAGGTTTTGATTGCTGTACAACGTGACCCCCCGTTGACAGGTCAGAAAAGCTGGGGAGAAGGAGTTGGTGTGTAAGGGTCTGTGTAAGCCAGGGAATCAGCCACGTCCGTCCCTCTGGGTCCCGTGCTTGGGAAGGTGGCCACATTCTTGGGTCATTTTCCAGGTGACCTGGCCACAGAGTCTCTCAATCTCAGATTTAGAAGGGACCGTGGAAGTCGGGGTCCCATCCACATTCTTTACCCTGTTTTATTTTTTTTAAGATTTTATTTATTTGACAGAGAGAAACACAGCGAGAGAGGGAACACAGGCAGGGGGAGTGGGAGAGGGAGAAGCAGGCTCCCCGCTGAGCAGGGAGCCCGATGCGGGGCTCGATCCCAGGACCCCGGGATCATGACCTGAGCCGAAGGCAGACGCTTAATGACTGAGCCACCCAGGCGCCCCATCTTTACCCTGTTTTTGCCTGAACACCTGTGGGAGCCTTTCTCAAGGGTCCTTAAGGAAGGCCCCTCCTCCCTTTGGGTGTGACAGGCACCATGGCTCTTCCTTGGCCTACATCAAACTCTACTTGCCCTCTCTGGCGCTCGGGACCCTCATCTGGATGAGGAGGGTAGCCTGCCACTATATATATATATATATTAAGATTTATTTATTTATTTGAGAGAGAGAAAGCGGGGAGGGACAGAGGGAGGGGGAGAGAAAGAAACCCAAGCAGACCCCACAGCTGAGCATGGAGCCCGACGTGAGGCTGGATCCCACAACCCTGAGATCACGACCCAAGCCGAAGCCAAGAGCTGGATGTTCAACCCACTGCACCACACAGATGCCCCACCATATATTTCTTTCCAGACCAAAATACTCAAATGCCTGGTGCACACTGAGCATCTACCATGTGCCAGGCTGTGGTAGCTGCTGTGCATGGACTAGCCCATGAGTCTCTCAGGGAGCTCCCCTCACCCGGATTACCTCATTTCCTCACGGCAACCTCCAATGTAGGTGGCTTAATCATCATCACCCCAACGTCAAGTTGGGAAACAGAGGCAGAGGACTTGTGCAGGAGGTGCAGAAGCTTGCCCCATGTCCCAACCCAGGTGACTGGCAGAGCTGAGCTCGAAACTCAGGTGTTCTGGCTCCCTGGGGCGGGTGCTGACCATCCTCGGCCACCTCCGGCCCCCGAGGTCTAAACCTTCTCTTTAGACCTCACATGGCCAGCAGGGATGGGTCCCTTGATGCAGAAGCACCTGGGCTGGTGAGGAGGCATCCACAAACGTGGCACCTTCACCACGGCCCCTTGAGGGACGCCTGCTCATCTCCCGGCTACCAGATGACAAAACCGCCCTCTGCTGCCTGCTCCAAGCCTCATCCCACTCCCCCCCACCCCCCAGCCCCCTGCTTCCCCATCTTGCTCAATGGCACCTCCTTTCTTGCAGCTGCGCCAGGAAAATATTGCTGTCACTTTGGACAATTGCCTTTCTCTTAGGTTGCACCCATCAGGAAGTCCTGTGGCTTCAGCCGCAAAATACCACCAGGACCTTGTGGGCTTCTCACCAGCTGCACCGCTTTCCCCAGAGCCGAGACCACTGGCCCTCACCTGCTTCCCCCCCCCCCATTTCCTGGCCCCACCCCCAGCAGCCATGAGGGAATCCTCATAAGGGGGTAAATCCATTCATGTCCCTCCTCTGCTCGGAAGACTCCAAAAGGTCTCCATCCCTCTCAGCATAAAATCCCTAGTCCGTCTGCCGCCAAAGGCCCATGGATCTGGTCTTAATAACCACTCAGATTGCTCGAGGCTCCTTGCTGTGTCCCCCACCCCTGCAGGGCTTCTTGAGAGCTGACACTCACCACTAGGGCTGCAGTCCTCACTCATTTCGATGGGCCCGATTTTCTGAATCCCGTTGAGCAGGTTGCAGCCTGCTTGGGACGTGCATCCTTGGACTCTCAGAATGCTGAAGCTATCCTCTGTGGACCGGGGCAGGGAGGGAGACGCTGCTAGGACCACCCCGCCCCCTGGGGGAGCCACCCTCCTCAGGTCCCAGCTTCTGTCCCTCACCAGAGAACCAGATCTTGGTCCTCGGTCTCCTCCTCCTGCCACCTTAGTGCCCCATATCCCACGGCCCACGGGGGCCCCCTGTCCTGGCTCACCTTCCCTGAACGTGATTGCTCCGCGGTAGCAGTGCGTGCTTCCGGCTGGGCAGGTCAGTTCTGTGGCAGACTCGCAGCCTTCTGTAGACAAGCAGACTGGACACCTCAGGGAGCTCGGGCCTGGGGAGGTGAGGAAAGGACTCTGGATCTGATGGGGGCCCCCCCACACCCCGCCCCGCCGCTTTGCTGGTCCCAAGAAGCAACCTCCCCAGTCTCCCACAAACGCGCCCTCCTTGGCTCCTCCCTTGCAGGCAAGCCAGGGCATCAGGGACAGGTGGCAAGGGAGAGAGCAAGGGCCAAGGGGCGGGCAAGAACCCCGGAGGGGTCACCTGGGCCTGAGTACATGAAGGGGTGCAGGGGGGGGAGGGGTGCCCCAGGAGGAAGCAGTGGATTCACCCACAGGTTCCACAAAACAGTCCGAGAACACTAGAGCCTCGTGTTCACAAACTAATCCAAAGAGTAGAGAAGCACGAAACATTGCCCCAAACCTGATTTGGGGCTACCAGACAAGGAAGGTGTGGTCCGTGACACCGTAACAGTGTTGTGTGGCTAGATGGGAACCACACTGCTGGTGAGCACAGCACAACACAGAGTTGTGCAATCACTTTTGTATTCCTGGAGCTAATGTCACACTGTGTGTCAACCAGGCTCAAGGAAAAAAAAAATTTTTTTAAGTTCCAGGCTAATTTCACTTTGGAAGAGGAACTGCCAAAACCCTAAATAAAACATGAGTGAATCAAATTCTAACTCAAAGAAGAAGAAAAAGAAGGAGGAGGAGGAAGGAGCATGCACTAGGTTAAGGCCATGCCCCAGTCTAAGCGAGGTGGCTGAACACCAGGAAATCCCTGTGGTTTGCGGCTCCAGGACCAATAGAAGAAGGGGTGCTGAGGGAGGGAGCCCCAGACAGAGCAGACAGGGAGTCAGGAGGGAGGAGGGACCCAAAGGTCACTCCCTCCGTGCTCACTTCCACTCCTCAGCCCTGCTGCTCCCCTGCACCCACCAGCCCCTTCTCTCTCCGCTTCCCGCTCATACCTGCAGTGGAGGGCAGGGTCCAGAGCGGGAGGCTGGTGGACATGCTGTTGCATTTGTCCTCCCGGCACACATGGGTGTAAGAGAGGACAGTGAGGCCAGGGCCTGCACTGTGCTCCCTGATGAGGACATCCTGATCTGCCACAGG